CCTCACCGGCAATCTCTTCAATGTAGATGCACATCCACCTTTTCGTACCATGTTGCAGAACAAGGCATTCTTGGTTGAGTGGCTAGCACACAACACGAAGCACGGACCCGACATCATTGCCTTTGCAGGAGTCGGTATAGCAGAATCCATGTTTGCGTATTGGGGAACCTGGGCATGATCCGCATGTCCACGAATTCTGACGCATGAGTTTTTCAGTGTTGCATTTTTTCAATTCCTCAATTCCGTGATGCGCGTGTTTGCACTTGACCCATGTTGAATCTCAAGAAATATGTGTCTGCCTCCGCAGCCACTTTCGGTTTACAACCAATCCGACCTTTGCAATCTTGTATGCTCGATCACCTCGTTGACATGCCCATCCTCAACCTGATGTTTGGACGATCCGGCGATGCGGCACCTGTGCCAAAGCCGATGATCAAAAGGCGGGCATCACCATTGAAGGAATCCCCTGCTCGTGATGAGGAAGATGAGACATCCGATTGCCCCATGGAGCAAGTCGCTGATGAGAATCCATCCGCCTCTCAACAACCCGAGAATATCAACATGGAGCAGGTTGATTATGATCGAGATTCCGATGACGATGATTCAGATGAAGAAGGGCGTCCTCTCGCAGGAAGGCCTTTGTCAAAGGCGATGCCACATCCGAAACTTGTTCCAAAGTCACCGCCACCGACATTGAGGCTTGTCTCCAAGGTCAAGCCAGCACCAAAGAACACCCTGGATGACGAGACGGAATCCGACAATCATCCTGGTGATCGACCTCCACTTCCAAGGCGACCAATGTGCGGCCTGTTCTCACATCCAACGATCGGTGGTTTGTAACATATGGATCGGATACGAACATCAGCCTCCAGAAGGAATCCGTACACCCAGGACCTTTCGGAAACTCAAAATTCCTGAGTTTTGTGCACGAGTACTACAAGGAATGCTCAACCATCCTCGATGTCAATCCGGACTTCCACTTCGTTCCTGAGCACGAGAGACCACATGGAGTTAAGGTATTCTGGTTGAAGGCAAGATTCAACGATTACTGGCATCCAACACTCCAAGGTGAAGGATCTCATGCAGAGAAGCAGTACATGGACTTCATCAAGAAGGTCTACAGCATCTGCTGCTACACCAATGCTCAATCCGAAGTTTACGGAACCGACATCATCCCGATGGTATGCCACAACGGCAACATTGATCTCGAGAAGGTCGTCCAGAATGTCGAACAGGTTTGCAAATACTTCCGCATGGATCCATCCAAGGCGAAACAGATCACAGATCTCATCCTCTGGCGAATTGAGAGAATGAGCAGATCGTTTTCCGGATGTCTTCGACATGATCCAAGACATGGAATCCATAAGGAATGCAAACGACAAGTGGGAATGGGTCCTGATGGATCCGTCGAGCTCTATGACGCATTGACCTGCATCACACATGCCAGGAACTTCATTGGAAATAAGCCAGGACTTCTCTTGATGGCTATGTTCCCGAGCTATGGAAAATCACGTTTCGAAATTGCGTTCGTATTTCCATCCGTGGACGGGACATATAAGGAGCGCAAGGCACGGGGAGAAATTGTTCCAAGGAATCGATGGATTGATAAGCTCAACACCAGATCCGCACAAAATTCACTCAGGCCCGATGGCAAGGAATTCTTTGTTGATTCAGAAATGGAGTTCTATGTGAGATGCAACAGCGGACACACACGACAAGTCGATATCCAATCCTTTGGACGACCCCTGTACTCTGAGCAGAAAGAGCCTCATCACGACGAACCGGACTATGATCTCCCAACGGAATCCATTCCGCCAAGTCCGCATCCGTCAAGATCCGAGGCACCTCATGGAGATGAAGGCACAGCTCGGCCTAAGTACAGAATGCGAAGGCCGGCACCACCATCCATGGAAGAAGAGAGAAAGATCAAGCCGTTCTCGAAGAAGCCCATCACATTCATGTTCCATGCAACCTATGGAAATCAGCTCTACAGCATCATGGAGCACGGGCTCAAATCTGGGAAATCCCAGTCAAACCCTTCGGGGAGAATGCACGTCCACATGGCATGCATCGATGACGTCATCCTCGAAGACGATGGAGTCAGAAGCCGCATTGACCCATGTGCCAGCAGGAAGAGATGCACTGCTGATCCTTGCATTTCTCAAGGACCAAGACTATGGCATCCGCCTCTCCGAAGAGAGAACAGCGTTGACAGACAAAACCATCGAGGCAAGAAACATTGTTGCAGCATTTGAACCTGATGGTAGCCTCATGGCGAGCAACAAGCGGATCATGAAGAAGAATCTCGATCATGAAGATTACGAGATGTACGACACCAAGATCCGCGAATTCGCCGATGCCTTCTTCAGTTATGTGAATTCCACCAAGCACAACAAGGAAAAAGATACTTCCTCAGAGACCAAGAAGAGATGGCATTCCACCGATCAGGACTCCACTGAAGGAGAAATGATGGAACCCTCCGGGGAAAGATCCGTCAAGCCGAAGGTCATCGGGGAATATCACAATTCAGAGAACCTAGATGAGTTCATCCAAGAACTCAAGGAAATCTATCTCGAAACAGATATGAACAAAAAGGACGCAGAGGAAGAGCTCGCGGGGACCAGGGAGAACCTCACCCGCTTCATGAACCAGTTCAACAAAGATCCAAGAAGAACTCATCCCAACTTGACAGAGTGCGAGAGAGCCTCATTGGCACATGTCGATCCTGATGTCAATCTCGGTGAAGAAGAATTCTACTTCCCTCATCGAGGAGAATGTCCCACCGTTGACGAGTACAAGCAAGCTCAACCAGGATCCGGATATCCGATCAAGCTTCCGCTTGGATTGAAAAAGCTCAGGTCACATGATGACCCGAAAATCATCCGAGCCTATGCCGATATCCTGGGATCGCTGATGCAGCCGACTGACCGTCCTCCCGTGGACTATCTCAACATGCATGAGTCCACCTCATCCATAGCGATCAACATGCTTACCCTGAACCATGGAAACCTCACAAGGAATCCAAAGCTGGACAACAGGGAGGTGCACAACATGCCGATGAAGGATCGACCGATCGTCAAGATGATGATGCAGAACAGTGCACGCATCTTATGCCTGAATGAAGCAGACGCATTCTTCAGTCCGAATGATGAGAAATCCAGGGAGCTCATCAAGACGTTCATCCGATACGGTTACAAGGGCATCGTGATCAAGCAATGGTCATCCAGACCGATCGCATGCTTTGTCCGCGGCGATTGGGGAACCACATTCGGAATGTTCAGATGTTTCTTCGGAACTAAAGGAGATTGCACTGATCCCGAATACGAAATTCCGACCTCGGACTGCTTGGCAACCACAGGAACATCCATGTTTACTGAACCCAAGAAGTACATTGGATCGAGATTGCCAGCACGCACCATTGTCCAAGGACATGGCCGAGACAAAGAGATCGTCGTTCTCCACATCGAGCAGAGTGATGAGTTTCGTGGCATGATCCCGAAATCATCCGACAAGTCATTCCACGAGTATGACGACCGCCACATAACGAGGGCAGATCTACCATTCGCAACCATTGGAGTCTTCCACATCCATCCTTCACTTAGCCATGGAGCAGCAAAGGAAGATCTTCAGAATGAAATCATGCCGCTCGTGACCTTGTACCGATGCGACGCGATCACCGGAGACGCCAACAAATCAGCGAACACCTACAGCAAACTCCAGCACGTCTACAATCCGACCAACGGTCTCGTGAACATCCTCATGAGGACATATCAGAGACTGTGGAATGCAACGAAGAATTTGCCACCCGTGGACAGAATGGAGTATGCAATGGAGACTTCGTGCACCCTGAAATCCATTGTCCGTCATCACCTGTACATGAAATGCGGATCAGGATTTGATCGAACATTCCCAGATGTGATGATGACTATCGTGTTTGGATGGGGCAAAACGAACATCCAGCAGGATTTCCGGAAGGACGAGATGAACGGTATGGATGATGAACAACTGGAATTCATGCGGAACCATCCAACCAAGGCCATATTCGATTACCAGGTCTCATCCGCAGAGCGCTAAAAGCACGTGAACAATGAAATGTTCATGAATGGCACTCCGACTCCCACAGTCCTCTCATGGTTTACATCCGCAGCAAATCTGCAACCAGTAAACGCAGCTCTGAGAGATACCAGGATTACATCAAGAAGAAGCAATCATCCTGGACCACGCAGGAGTACAAGGACTACAACAAGCAGTGGGGACATCAGAAGCAGTGGAAGGACTATAGCACTTCGACCTGGAATGATTATGGGGACCATGGCAGTCAATCCGACAGCAGCCGCCGATGGTATCGTCGATCCGACTGACCATGAAGATACGTTCAGCACCACGAACAATCCAGATGATTGATCCTCGTCGTCTACAAGACTATACCATGAGTGAGAGATCAATAGTTTCACAATCGTTCCGCGTGTACATAGCGTTGTACATCACCCTTTGATACATTTAGGTATCCAAAAAGAAGCAGTACATAGTGTTTCCCATTTCGAAGGCCAAGACATGTCATCCAAGCAGAAAAAGGATGAATCCGGCACTTTTAATCACATGGCTACGGCACACATCAAGGCTACGGTCAAAGGCCATGAAGCCAATAGTATTTCATACTTTGTGCTGGAGATCAAAAGAAATTTGTGTCTGTTTTGTGTTCTGTTTTCCAGACCATTGATCTCCTGCAACATTTGGCTCAAGGGCCCCTTTTGCAGAATCACGACCATCCGAGCGTGAAGACAAAAGAGCCGTTGCAGGCCGCTTACAGGATTATCCACAAGGCAATCCACCAGGGACAATCCATCCTCCAATCATCCATTACTGGCATATTCAATTCTCTCCGCAATAGATCCAGGGACCAACAACGACCTAGACCTCCAGTTCCCTCCGGGGATAGGCACCTGGGGCAGTGGGCCTCACCCCCCCCCCCCCAAGGCTTCCACTGAGATGCGGTGCAGGACGTTGGCTTCTGGGGCGTCCTCGTGCTCGCAGCCCTCACCGGAAGTTGCAGTTCGTTGCTCCTGGCGTCCTGCAAGAAGAAGCAATTGACGCTTGCCTTGCGGCTCAGGGGACAGCTTTGGAACGGTCTCCTTGGCTAGGTCCCCCAGTAGTGCCCTTTTACCAACTTTTTTGGGGGAGGGTTCCCCTACAAAAATAGACAACAGAAAGAAGGGCACCCTTATTCCAACCTCTCTACTGGAGGACCTAGTTGAAGGAGGTTTGAAGGGATGTTCTTTGAGCAACGGCCTGAAAGTCTTGAACGCCTGCCAGGGCCATGGGTTCGTAAGCCATGTTGGAGCCTTTGGGGCCTGAGGTCGCCAGAATTAAGCCAGAACTAAGGGTCAATTCACCCATAAGCTAGGGTTCATACCAGGGGTTCATATATGGCCGTAAGCATTGAGCCTTTGGAGGGTGTGTTTTACGCGGACTTTTTTGGCGCGAACCTGGGTTTGGTGATGTCCAATGCCATGGCTTCATTTCGGCGTGTCCAAAGGGAAAGCACGAGGAAACAGGGCCTACTTTGGAAAGCACGAAAGCACGACCTCCGCTCACTCCCAGCCCTCACCCTGGGAAGGGAGATTCTGGCATGCGACATATAACTTGCGGCCATGTCATACGCAAGCAACACATCTAGGGGAACCTTCCAATTCCGTTCTTTCCAGAAATCCTTCTTCCCAGAAAACCTCCGGAAACCTGGGGAAAACGGCCGGTTCTTGGAAAGAACGATGGTGGAAAAGAATCGGGAATCAACCCCTAGAACTTTGGGAAAGCACCCATGTTATTTCCCCCTTGAAGCACCCAGGGGGTTGTGGATACAAGAGCCGGAAATGGAAAGGGTTTTAGATTACTGATGGGGTTTGCGGATGAATGCATCAAGTACTTTGCGTAGGTCAGGCAAGCCGCTGGGGATTCATGGCAGTTTCGGATGGCGAACGGTGCTGATCAGAGAGGCTGCGCTAAAAAATGCCATGGGAATCGCAACTTTGGTCCACGAAGAGTTGATGAAGCAAACCTTAAGCTGGAGGAAAAGTCCGTTGAACAGGATGGCAAAAGAGACCAAGCCCGCTGCATGAACATGAGGGCGCTGAATAAAGCGGTCAAGACAGACATATAAATGAATACCCAATCCACATATATATATAGATGTATATACACATACGTGTGACATTTGTATTCATATGAACATTTCTATGTAGATCCGCATGCCAACTTGGTTATATAAATATAATATATATATATATATATTATAAATAATATATATATATGTATATATATATGTATATATGCATATAAACAAAGGGCATCCCATGGCGCGGAGAGCTCCCAATCACTCCCATGGGCTGTGGGTCAACTTTGCTTGCGCCATGCCTTAGGAAGAAGATGCCGAGCGACTCGGAGTTGGTGATCGGCAGGCCCTGCGCTCATCCTCAGGGAGAGGTGGCAGAGGGTCAGCCGAAGGCTGCGAAAGTGGAGGTCTGAAGTGAGTCCACTAGGCCCCCCAGTAGTGCCCTTTTAAACCTTGTTGGGGGAGGGTTCCCTTACACAACAAAAGGGTACCCTAATTCTAACCTCTCTACTGGAGGACCTTGTCCAAGTTGGCCATTTGGGCTGTTCCTTAAAGGAAAAGCCCGGCAATCAGCCGTCCCTGGGCGCCATGCGCCTGCACGCCACTTGTTCTCAACCGCGCGTTTCTGCGCGGTTGATGCCCTGAGGTCAGCCATTTGGGGAATGTTTGTTGGTTTCTGTGCCGATTCACCACATCACACGCTGCCCACTCTCACCTCTGCTGCTCGCACCCTTGGCGATGACCTAGGGAGTAGTATCTGGACATAAGGTGGGACAAACTGATTGGGCCACAGCTTTGGGGTGCTCCCACCCCATGGTAGTTCGTAGTTTTGACTCTTTCGCCCCAAGGGCGAGGGACCCTGGCAGCGCCAAGGCAGCTTGGCGCTGCCTGCCTGATGGCAAATTTATGGCAGCCGGAAAGCCTTTGCCTTGGATTTCAATCCATCTCGGCAAGGACACTTTCTCGGCCGGTAGTCGGAATGGGTGCGGAGCTTGTTTGCAAGCATGCACATCTTTTCCAAATCAATTTCCAACGAAGATGCGACCACCAGACATCCACGGTGCTCCATGAAAAGGCTCCAGCCTGCATGTATTCGATCTATGCTCTGTTCGTGCGCGGACTTTCCTTCGTGTGAAGCAGCTGAGTGCTTGTCTCTCCATTTCTGCGCAATGAGATTCTACGGGGCTGACACTTGAGCACATGGGTTGGCAATCACAGCCCGTTTTTCTCCTTGGTTTTCAGGCAAGCAAGCGCTAAACGCCCGGGTTGGCCAACGTATTCCTTTGTGGCTAAATGACCTTTTCCCCTCTTGTGCTTTTGGGTTCCTGTTTCCTTACCTTTTACCAGCGCAATGTCAACTTGGGGGGCCTACGTCTGGATGCCCCAGGTACGGAAGTCCGATTCCTTCCCGCCGGGGCCCTGAGAAATGAACAGAGTTGCCTTCCCGCGTTGTGTGGTGCTTCTGTGATTTACGTGGAACAACTCGACTGTCCCGGAGATGAATGTGTGCAAATCTCCTTTGGAAGAGAAAAGAGACGGAGCACTTACAAGCATTGTCCTTTCTTGGGGTAGTGTGCTGAAAAAGAAGATGCCCTGAGTTTAGCTTGGCTTTATTGCAGTCGATTCTGCAAAAGGACACCTACATTTACACGTGAAGTTCTAAATCCATCTCACCCCGTACTGATTTGTCGGACCCCGCTGGCTTGTGGTGCAGGGCCGCTGGGTGTCTGGTGCTCCTTCCGCTTGCGTTTATCAGGGGAAGCGATACGGATCTCCATCAAAGATGGCGGACATAAATCCCCATGGAATATGAGGGGCGAAAGGATTACCCATCGAATTGGCCCAGAATCATGACTAAGTTTGCATCAGAGCCAACTTCTCGTTTTTTAGGCCCTTGTGGTGAATGATGCCCACGAACGGCCAAGCAATTCGCACTCATAATCCATGGCTCCGACGGAAGCTTTGCGCCCGAAACTTTGCCAAGGCCCGTCGTTGGCCCAGCTCAAATAGGTGCCCTTCTACCCTTTTTTGGGGGAGGGTTCCCCTACTAAAGTAGACTACAGAAAAAAGGTACCTGGACCTTCGTCCTCCTGAAGAAACGTAGTTTCCGCCTTTGACTGGATATTCAATCGGGAAATCGTAGCACTTTTTGCCGCAAAAACCTGAAACTCCCAAAACTGCTAAAACACACTGTTGTAATGCTCGCGGCCTTTGACAGAGTAAAGGAAGGTTTGCAGGGGGCAAACGACTGAATGAAGCCCGCAAGTTTGTCAAAACATGCAACGGCATTCCAAAGTTGTGCGGTGCAGAAAAAACCGTACCCATTTTGACCGCAAAACGCCCGCAAATTTCCGCAAAACTCACACAAAAAACCCGCAAACTCCCGCAAATCACAAAACAAGTCGTAGTTTTGATGATCAAGGCATCCCATGGTGTTCACTGGCACGTCAATGTCCTACAAAGGCGGCTCGAAGTTGGGGTGAGGTTTAGGCTTAGGGTTCAGGCTCAGGGTTTTCGGGTTTCGGACTTTTAGGGCTTAGGGCGCCCCGAGCTGTCAGAGACCCCGGTGCGGACACCCACGAAAATGGTGTTCTTTGTTGACCTGTTGTTTTACCTTGTTGCCTTCCTTCACCCTCAACAAAAAGACAAACCAACATCTTTCATTTCCAGGTCCCTGGGCCGTAACCTCTGCTCAGGTCGGACATCGAGCTGAGACGCTCTGCTGAAACTGCGGTTTTGGGCGTGTGGTTTTGGGACTTGGATTTTTAAGGGGAACCCAGCAGAAGACTACTCCTCATCAGCAGCTCGACAGGTGAAACATCAAAAGATGGCTTCTTAATGGAAACCATCGGGACATGACCGGCAAACCAAGAAGTGCCATTGGAGTAGTGACCAGCGCCATGGCACCGGCAGGGAGGTTCTGCTTGAGGGGTCCGCTGTCTAGAGGTTCTGATGCCGGGTCATTCCCGCCCACGAATGTGGGTAGCCATTTTGGACGGGAGTTATTTGAACTTTTGGATGGGAGGCATTTGAACCGGCGCTGGACATGGGATCAATTCTTTCATATGTTGAAATGATTTGTTTTTATGCTCCCTTCTTGGCTTTAAAGGGAATCTCTCACTGGACATATTTTCGTATTTTTTGCCCAGGCGGCCCTAAACGCAAATGGAAGACCGCACCAGGCCGATGTGTTTTTTGCCTGTCCGAGACCTGCGGGAGCAAGCGAGCTCTCAGTTCATTCCGGGCTTTGCCCACGTCTTGGTGGAAGTTGGCATAGCCCTCTCAAAAAACATGCCGTCCCACCTGCCTTGCACTTCAGCGGCTGCGAGGCATTTAAGTATGGGTATGGGTCAAACAATTAAACCACCAGGATATGGACGGCAGGTTTGAGTCCTTGTTTCCATTTCGAAAGGCAACCCATTTTGGGTACCTATTTTTGACCCACACCCATTTGTCGAAAGATGTGGCAACCCTCATAGTGACATTATGTTCGACATTCCTTTCACTTTCGCAAGGCAGGGGCACTGGTACCCTGACACTTGATCCCAGTGCATCAAGAGTGTTCCTCCCAGGGTTCCTCGCAGGGGTTTATGTGAATGCGGCCTAAGTGAACGAGCCAAACCAAAACAAAACACTACATCAAACTCGGTTGCATCTCTGCGGGTTAGCCACGCACGCACGCTGGAGATAACGCGGCCATTATAGGGTTTCGGGTGGGGTTGGCCATGTCTTAGCAACGCACATCTAAGTAGCAAACTGGGGCAAGTTCAAGTTCCCTGGAATGCAGTTCCTTCATCTACTCTTCAACTTCCTGGCTCTCAGCAGGGAATGAGAATTTCAGAATTGGAATGACCCCAAGGGGGAATTTCCAAGTTCATTCCCAACTCCCCAGGGGACCGGGACCCAGAACCTTAAACCCTACACCCCAAAACCTAAATCCTAAACCGGGGCCTGGGTTCATTCCCAACACCCGGACCCATCGCGCCTCTTCCAAGCGGTCGAAGCGCCACGCTCCGAGGCGAGGCTTCCAGGGCGCGGCTGGCGGAGCGGCGGTGGCGAGCGGAGGAGGCGCCGCAGAGCTTGCGGATGCTGCCGGGGGGCCAAAGGCGACAGAGCGACGTGTGGAGAGGGCTGGAGAGTGGGGGGGGATTTGTAGCTGGGGAATGAGAAATGGAATGAACCAGGCTTTCCCCTTAAAGGAAACCAGTTGGATGGTTCATAAGGGTCCCCCAGCTAGGTGCCCTTGTTAACCCCGTTTTTGGTTGGGAGGGTTCCCCTATTTAAAACAAAAAAAACTACAGAACACAAAGTTGGTACCCTTATTCTAACCTCTCTACTGGAGGACCTAGATTCGTTGCTGGTGCGATAGGTAGGGAATGAGAAATGGAATGAACAAGTCGGAGTCCCACCAGAAAAGGAAAGCACGAAAGGAAACCACCACTTGGATGGCGCATAAGGATCATTCCAATTCTCATTCCCTTGCTGAGCACCAGCAAGTTTCGATCGTTTCCAGCTCGTTTTCGTTTCAGCGGCTAGTAGCCCGGGTTTGGATTGGTGGAATTGGATTTGAAGCCCCGGTTCTCGAAGACTCACTTTAACCTTTTGGCTTCCGAACCATTTCCGAACCCATTTTGGTGAAGTTTTAGTGGCCCCAAAGGGTGATCACCTTTTATGTCCAGATCCCGTAGAGGCATCACCCACCCCCACCGGGCTCCAAACCAAGCTGAAGGTTCGCCGTGTCCCAACACGGCCTGGTGCGCATCAGTGGGCACTGGGCCGTGGGGGGCCGCGAGATCGTGCCCGAGCGGCAGGCGAAGGGACGGGGGAACTGGGGAACGGCGGGGAGGCCAACTGGTTCCCAGTTACCCGTGAAACCCGCGGTCTTGATGGTTCCCAGCCATCCGCTTAGTTGTTTTTTTTCCTTCGGTTTTTTCTGGTTTAGTGGGAGGATAAGCCCTTCCGTTTGCTTGAATTCAGTTATTCCTTGGCAAGGCGTGTTCCATGTGGAGACCCCGTCTGGTGGGGCAGGAAGCCTTGCCGGAAGCGAGTCAGTTTCTGGGAGGCTTTCCGACCTATGAAAAACATCCAAGTGGAACTGAGCATCCCTAAGTCCCTTTGCTTCCTTTTCGCGAAAAAGTGTCAGTGCCCGATTCATCAAGGCCACCAAAATTCACTCAATTGTTTCCAAATGTTTCCAACATCATTCAGGAGCCCCCAGAATGAGGCGCCCGCATTCTCTTCCAGCGGTGTTCTTGCTTCGGCCAACCCCCCCCCCAAAAAAAAAACACAATCAAGTGTTGCCAACATCTTTCAGGAACCCCAAAATGAGGCGCCCACATAATCTTCCAAGTTTTTCTTGCTTCACCTTCGACCCGTCCCACCCTCGCCCTCAGCTCCTCACCTCGGGCCTCGGGCCGCGTGGCCAGGCCTCGGTGCACATCTCCGCGCAGATGGAGGTGGTGCTTCACTGGCCCCGCGACGACGTCTTCAGCTCCAGCAACGTGCAGGCGCGCGCGTCTGCGCGTGCGAGGAAGCGAGCGAGCGAGGGAGCAGGGGCCGCCACGCGCTTCTTTCTTTGGGAGGGGTCGCTTTTCAACATCCAGGAAACAGGTAGCTCGCAATAAGTTTGCATTGGAGGTTGGGAGCTGGTTTCCCACTTACTCTGCACAAGAACCAGGGGTTCGAATCTTTATCACCAATCCAAACCCTCAGTAGGAGGAAGCTGAAGCAAGAAAGCACGATCCTTGTTTTTTTTCTAGGAGTTCGCCGAGGGTCGTTTTTTTTTCCCCCCCCTTCCGGGGGGGGTGGTCTTGGCCAAAACACTAAAGCAAATGGCCGGGCTTGAGAAGCGAAGAATCGAGTTCAATAGTTGGTCGAACCAAACTTTGGCTAAAGTCGAACATCAGCTCCCACTTGGCACGGCACATTTCCCAGGTCCATTCAGGGAACTGCGTAGTATGACCGTGCAGTGTGATGATGGGCAGCGGGGCGATCCTGGATGTTCTGGAAAGGTGTCTCAGGTTAGAACGCCTTCACCAAATGCCAAACAACAACCGCTGCATTGTCCCATTGGCAGCGAGACGTGGTACCTCTGAAAATGGCTGGAGGAAGAACCATGATGGGACCCTGCGAGGCATTGTCCACCAGTCACCCTCAGTGCGATCCCTCCAAGCGTGCTAAGAGGTCCGGGCCGGGCAAGGTGAAGATTGTTGAGGGCAATGGCCCATCAGCAAACAGAGAAAGATGGCCATTAAGCAATGGGTGCATGGCAAGAAAGCACGATTCTGCTGCAAGCATACATGTATATATATATATATATGTGCGTGTTGTTTCTTTTATGGGGACCCCCAACAAAATGTGTGTTTTCTTTTGGCCCCTATTCACACCAAAACAAGCAGGGTGCCCTCAAAAAGACACCCACATCCTCGCGCTTGCTAGCAGTTGTTTCTTGTTAAATGAAATGCTGAGCTTGTCTGAAAGTGGTTATTTTTTGCGGCTTGGGCGCCACTTTTGGGCTCCAAACTGGCGCCAGGTGGAGTTCATTTCGCACCAGATTTGGCCGCCGCTTCCCCCCAAACCCGCCGAAGGCAGGCTACTGCGTCTGATGCGGGCTCAATGCCACTGGTCAAAAAACGGCGGGGCCCGTCCTCCGCCTGCGGGATATTTCTGTGTTTCGCCGTTCCGAGTTATTTCCAGACCTGAGATCCAGGAGTTTGAGGTGTTTGACATGAATGAATCAAGAAGCAGGACTGGCTTGCAAAAGCAAGAGTGATCTAGGAGTTGTCCTTGAGGGAAGTATTTGGAAGCAACTTGTGTTTTGTTTTTCCTTTGTTTGGCCCCGCAAAATGCAAGTCCGTGCATTCTCCAATCAATACGGAGCAGCTCTATGTGCTCGACAGCTTTTGCAGAAGGTGCACTCGCCCCAAACTCCGCATGTTTTGATTTGCACGAGTTTGCGGGCGTTCTGCGCTGAGTTTCGGGTGGTGTTTTCCGGTTTGCCGATTTGTCACATGAGGCTTGCCAGGCCAAGCCGAGAGGCTTTGCACTCGAAGGCCATGTGGATTCCAGAGTTTCCGGCGGGGTCGGCTTGCGCGGTCATTGGCAGAAGCTCAGTTGTCCAAAGCGAATCGACCTTTTGACCTTTTTGTTTCCCTACTTTCGTCCAGACTTTTTGTCGGGACCCCAAAAGGTGATCACCTTCTATTTCCAGGTCCCTAACATTGTTGTTGTTGGGACACATGTTGCATTTTAGCTTATTGTGGTTGAGTGGTTGAAATCCCCACTCAACTGCTAAAACAAAACGTTTTGCCCCCCTTCCAACGTCGACCAAGCGGGAGAAAAGCTCGCATGTGTTGAAGTCGCCTGCAGGCGGCTTGGCGGTGAAGCGCAGCGACAGCCGACAGCATTTGTCGACCAGGTGGGGGAGCGTCAAAATCGGACATGCTGACAAACCGCATAATGCTGACCCCATATGTGTTTTTTATTATTAGGGGGGTGTCCCTGGGTTTTGTGGGGAATCAATACTTTTGGCGGGAACATCTCTTTTGAATAATCTGGGGTTAATTAATATGGGGCGAACAGTGTATATATATATATATATGTGGTATATCAAGTGGGCCTAAACGAGCGGGTCTTGTTTTCTCTAGTTTAGGCACATGGGAATTGTCGGGGGCTCGCTCAGGAAACTCAGTTTACGAATCTCCGGTTTAGTGAGCTCTACATATGAGGTTCGGTCAAAAGACCCTTTACTTGTGGGTTGGAAGGGTGCAGCCACCAAGAGTTGCCACTCAATGGCTGTGAATCATGTACTGCATCTCCACATCAGTATTGGCAGACAGAAACATACAGAAGCCACATTGGCCGTGGCCCGCAACAGACAACCTTCACTGGTAGCTTATGTTTGAGCAACAAAAGCGCGGGGATGATTGAAGGCCTCCCATGTTCCTTCCCAAGCACCGAGAGTTTCCAACCAAAACATGAACCCACAAGAATGCCTGCCCCATGAAGCCGATTGAATCCAGATGCCCCCCCTCCGCCCAGTTGTGCGACGCCGGAAGGGCCTGGGAAATCGACCGCCTGTCACATCTGGATTGAACTTATGTTCTTTCCCTGGCGCTTGGGGAAGGGGGGCGGGTTGTAGTTGATGCCGATTTCACACTTGGCTTGCTCAAGACAGCATAGCGGTGGACGCAATATCCCTGACGCATGCTGATATGTAATTTAGCGCCGACTTGAACCTGGCCAGTGTTAGCCTCGAGGCTTTCTAGCAAGGGACGCCCTGTCAGAACAATGAACACAGAACACCTCCTGGTATGGCGCATGCCGCGTTGGGAAGCTGAACATTCGACAGACCCTTTCCTTGAGATACAAAAGGGCCCCCTCGGCATAGGGGTTGCTATGAGCCATGATGGGCCAACCACCCCTCCCTTGTTGAATTTCTGGCCTTCATACTTCATAGTCTACTTGTTTCGAATCACAGTATGGCGGTGTTTTCTTCGGAGGCCGCCTTTTTGGCTGGCTTTTAAGAGAAACCAATAGCAAGCAAGCATTTTGGGGTTCCCATTCCTTTCCCTCGCAAACTCACCTGGCAGTTTGGAGGCCACGTTTTCTTTGCCCCCGCGCGAGGAGGCACTTGGCCTCCCGATCGTGGGGCTGGCCAGGCCCGGCTACGACTTGTGGTTTGCTTGACTCGTGCTTCCCAAGGTTTTTGGGGAGGGGTGAAACACGTGAACATTGACGACCAAGGACATGTTCCTTCTTTGTTGGTGGGGGTCCTGTTAATCAACTACAACTACACTGTCCTTTTATGTTGGCGGGGGGAGTTCCTTAACATCAACCATTTGATACGGAAGGAACATGAGCTGGGCGCCCCCTTAAGATGCGAATTGCCGGAAAAGCCCGGCATTGGACGTTGCAAGGCTGTCGGATCTAACTGCATCCACTAGTCCGCCATAGACCATGGGCACCACATTGGTGCGGACCCGGCTCGAAATTCAGTCAGTCCCATCGATGGACAGTTTGGCACTCAGCACAACATCACTGAATCCACAAGACTGTGGCGTTGCCCCAACTGCAGCCAAGCACAAAACTTCATGAAGTCCTTGCTGCTGTTCTTTTTTTTGCCTTGGGCTTCATGGGTAAGAAGTGCCAAAAAAAAAGGTTGCTGATGGCCCAATGACGAGCAGGCTTCAGGATCCAGGGTCTTTCTGTCATGAGTTGTTCGCTTCAATAGGTCTCTTGCGGTGTCACACGCTTTTCAGGGATCCTACGATGGATGGACAAAATCCTGCACCACTTTCAAAGGATGGGAAACCATTGTTTGCTGGTATTTACAGGGGGGAATCGCATCCTTCCAGGGTTTCCCAGGTGGTGCAGGATTTCGTCCGTCCACAGTACGTTTAGACCGCTTGGGAATTTAGTCCGGCCATCCAGGTGATTCGCCTTGCTTGGCTTCCCTTGGTTTGCATCTGTTCGAATTCGCGGGTTCACCTGGACGCGCTCTACGCTGGTTTCCTCACGCACTGCGACCATACCCTATTGTCCCAACATGTCCCAACCCAAGAGCAGTTAGCACGTGCCGCTTCCACCTGGCGCCTGAGTTACTTTTACACTGCACTCAGAACCACCCTTGGTTCATATGAAACCGCATTGACTTGGAAGCTGACAGGGGGGGATTTCGCCAAGACCATTTCAGGACTGGAAAGAGCTTGTGCTGAGAGCTTCTTTGGTTCAACCTGGATGGCGGCTGGAACTGGGTGAGACAACTCTTTGGAGGGCTCTTGCTGGGGTAAGCACTGCTGACATTCATACTAATATGGGCACCCAGAAAAAGACAGACATGCACACACCTATGTGTAGTGTAATTCTGTTGTTTTTCTTTCATGCGTCAAGTTGCTGCAGCTGTGGGCTCTTCGAAAGCCCACTTTGTTTCTGTTTTGGGGTTGGCTACTTAAATCTGAAAAGACCCATGCCACAGAATCTGAGCATATGTAATTCTGTGCGCACCCCCCCCCCCCATGAAGTTGTGCGGATTGGTGGTTTAGGGATTTGAAGCTACCCCCGCCGCTAAGCAGAGGGAACCTGATTGTAGGAAGCAAGGGCCAAGAAAGCCTTATGGCCAATGATGGGTTTGGATTTTTTGGGTTTGAACTCCACCTAGATAGCCAAGTTGCCGCTTTTTAGTCACTGTTGCTGGTTTTTGGGGTAAAGCGCATGGACAAAAGAAAAGAGCAACTGGCGATCCAGGCAGTTCCTGTTGATTTTTGGATTGGTTTGGCTTGGTTTGGCTTGGTTTGGATTCTTGGGTTTGACCCCCAGTTCCTGTTAAAGCCAAGGGAAGCCGACCCAAGCCTCGCGCAATGGGCTCGAGGCCGCTCTGCGAGCCCTGCAGAGGAGGAGGAGCGGGAGCTGTGGCACATCCAGTGCCCGCTGGCGCGTGGGGTTGTTTTTTTCTTATTTTTCTTCTTTTTTGTCCTTTTGTTCCGGGGGGTCAAAAATGGAGGGGGGGGTGAGGTGGACACTTGGGATCTATTTTGCGGGCTCCTTCTTAGGGCTATCTTGTTTTTTAGGGTTGGCAGCAAAATAGACTCCACATGTGACGGGGGGGGTCGGTGTTTTTTTCGTTATTATTTTCTGAGGAGGTGGCGGCGGTGTTATTTGGAGGGCCCCCCCCCCGTCCCATTCGCCAAGCCGAAGGGTACCCTCGAACGAGTGGGGATCCTCGGCGGGACCGACCCTCCATTTTAGAGCCACTCCAAGGGGGGTTAATTCAGTTCCCCTTGGTGGCTTGGATTCGGCTTTGAACCCCTGGTCCGTGAGGGCTTTCTTTTTTTGTTTGTTTGGTCATAGGAGCCCCATCCTCAACCTCCGAGCCATCAATGCACACCACAGGTTAGAGAGAAACTGACAAAGTGGTAGAGGAAGATTGTCCGCAAAGGCGCGAATCGTACTCCCATACCCCCCCGCCCCTGGTGCCTGACAAGAGATACTTTGAAACAAGTTTGTGTTATGGGCATAGGAGCTTGTTGGTACTTATTACCCCTTACGTTGTCGGATTGGATGTTTGCCGGTGGTGTGGAATCTACCATTTCTGCTCTCTGGAGTAATTTTCGTCCCTCCAGAGCGTTAAGTTACATTCCCATCCGGAAATCAAAGCCAGTCGCATGCATAAATTATTATTTTGATGCGCGCAATCTTCGTGATACATGATGGCACTTTGGTGCATTTTGCTTGGATATTAGAACTTACAACTCTTTGCCAACCAATCAAACCCTCGCGCACCACCCTCCGGCGGCTGCCCCTGCAGGGAGTGGATGTTCTCTGGGGTTTCCATTAAACCACTAGAGGAGCAGATTTCGCAACCGAGGGCACATGGTGGTGATTGGCGCTCGCGAGCTCTGGATTTGGGATTCGGGATTGTCAAGCTTTCCACAAGCTCGGAATTGGCGTTGGGTAAGGGTTTGGCTCAAAACTGAAAGCGATTGTCCGGTGGGGGGCAGGCTTGCTTGCATAGGCTAGGGGTCTGCAGGGTGGTTCCGTTGGGGAGGGTGTGGCTCAAAACTTGGGATTGGAATTTTGCTGAATAGTGCTTGTTCAGATTGATTTGGGGGCACGTCGGTTGTTGCCGCGTGCTGCACCTTCTGTCTAAAACCTGTCTACTTGGAATCTTGGAACGTGGGTGGTTTTTCGCGATATGGGCGGATTCAGGACGATCACATCCCAAGAATCAGGACGGTTTCCTTTCGGGCCAATGTCTTGGCTGCTGTTGGGTTGGATCTTTGGGCTTTACTGTAACTTTTTGGGAAATCAAGGGGTTTTCCACTAAACCCACAAAACGTTAAACACTTTTTGCAGAGGGGTCAACGGCAACCAAGATGTCAGGCGAGTTTTCTGGGCGGGTTATTTGGAGAGAAACTGTGAGAAGATTTGTCGGGGCTGGATTTGAGAAAAACCTCACTTGGCTGAATGAAGAGCCAGTTGGTAAGGAGGTGATGATCTTCGTTTGGACATGCGCACGTCAAGCATCAAGTAGGCCCGAATGGGTATCGTTTACAAGAAGTACACTGCTCAGAGATTCACAAGTGTATGTTCCCCCGACAGCACCATCTTGCAGATCCACCAAGAAAAGGAGATTTGGCTTTTTCAAACCAATCCAACGCACCAAAAGCGATTTAAGTTCCCTAGGTGGATGGGGTACCTGCCCTATTTGGCTTCCAAGGAACTGCTGGTTCGCCCCCAATCCAAACCAAAGCCCACAAAAAGAAGGAGGTTCGGGGTTCCAAACCAATCCAAAGCACCAAACAAGTATTTGCCAGAGAGTTGTTCTTGGTCGACCTTGGGGCTACACGACGTCAAGTGGCAAGTCGCCCAGGTCGAGTGGCATGGGCCTCCGAGACGGACACGGAAGTGGCTTGGCAGCGAAGTGGCTTGCCGGTGTCCAGCCATCCGGTTCCTTAGCTTTTTGGTTTTTGAGTTGTTTAATGTGTTTTTTTTTGTGTTTTAGGTATTTTTATGGTTTGTTAGGGTTTTTTTAAGGGTGTTTTTGTTTATTTTATTTTTTTTAAAGGGTTTAGAGGGGTGTCCATATTTAACCCACTTAAACTTTTGGTAAACAAACCTGAGCACACTTGTGTAGGTGGTTTGGATTGGTTTGGATTTGGAAATCCACCCAAGCAGGCCACCAAAACAGCGATCCGGCTCCAAACCATGACAATGAGAGAAAAGCAACGCGGTTGTCCCGGCCGAGCCAAAATTCTAAAGCAAGCGACTGGCTGGACTATGCTTCGATCAATTGTGGTACTTTGGTGGGGGGGTAATATCTGGATGATCGACAAAGCAGAAAAAACCTTAAAGTGAAAGAGAGCTTCGGTACGAGCTCTGGGTTTCTGTAAACTATTATGAGGTTTCCGCTGCTGCCGCTGTGAGAGCATTTGAAGCATTACCATTTTCTAGCGAGCACGCCAAAGCACAGAAAGACGGCATGACTCTAAACCACACCGACTCAGCGCGTTCGTGCAAAAAAAACATGGCTGTCCTCGTTTTGGCTTGTTTGGGAATAGATGGGTTCCACTGGATTAGATAGGCTTTTGTTTACATCTGCCAAAGAAAAACAAGGGCTCCTCTATGTTGAGGCAACCATCTGGATGCGAGAGCCCACGAGTCTGAGGCCTTCAGGGGGCCCTTTGTTCACGTGAGTCCTGCGAGGAAGGTCACCAGAGGTGTCCTTTTGGTAAAATCGATGGCCCTACATTAAGCAAAAAAAAAAAACTCGACCACCAGGAGTTGAATTGGTCTCCACGTGCTTTGTCCTTAGAAGCACCTGGTTTTTCAATTCGGATTTGAACCCCTGGCTTTTGTAGAGGGAAAATGGGAAACCACCCGAATTAGAGGGAAGCTGACAACCAATGTGGATCTCGGCCATCCGGTTCCTTAGCTGCTTAGCTTTTTAGTTGGTTTAGCGGTTGGGTTTCCATGTCACACGGCAAGTAGCGGGAAGCTGCGTGCAGGGAAGCAGGACCAAGAATGCCATCTGACAACTCTTTGGCGGTTTGGATTGGTTTGGGGGGAGGGGGGTTCTCCTTCACACCCAGCTGTTGGAGTGAAAGGCGCGCGCAGTTTCGCACGCAGGATGCTTCAGTGCTGGAGACCGAGCTGGGTGACTTGACCTGGTCGTCGCCGGTGGCCTTGCCAGCGCTGGAGCGACGGAGGCAGATCCGATGCCGATAGACGCCTTCAAGGTGTGGATTGGTGGTAACCCGGTTGGTTCATGGGGGGGTATGGTAGGGTGGCATGTGGGGAATCAGACCACTTTCGGAGGGGTTGTGCACCCCCCAAATCAAATGACCCGGGGTTGATTCATATGGGGTCAACATGAATTGGTGAACGAAGACCTTTTGGTTACCCTTTTCGGGCATTTTTTGGTACAGCTCTCAACAAGCTTGCCTTTTTGTTTTTCCAGATCGGGGCAAGTGTCCTCACGCTCTAAAAAACAACTTGTGGGGTTTGGTTGCCATGTTTAGTGGCAAGCAAGAAACAAGCGGGTGACTTTTGTTGAGGCCATCTACTCAAAGGCTTACCATGGCGAGGCCTCTTTGAACTCCACTGACCCCTGGGAATGCGTTCGCAGGCCAGATCGAGACGGGCCAGGGCCCCAGTGATGTGTGGCACCTTTGGGGCAGTGTCCTTAGGTTAGTTTGATGAGAAATAAAAGGGGTTCCACTGGTTGCTTCCATTTGATCAAGATTTGTGTTTCTTGTTTTGTCCTTTGGGTTTAAAGGGAGTCTATCACTGCTGGACTTATTGTTTTTTCCCTCCTGGGCTCATACAAGCAAAACCCGGGTAGATGAAGGCTACGGGAGAATACCCTTGCCATCCATGGCGTGCCGGATTTCAATTCCCCTGCCTTCTTGAAGCCCATCGGTTTTCAGTACGACTCAGGGTAGTTGAGTAAACGGGTTCCACTGGTTTAGCTTTGATCGCACAAGGAAACCCATCGATTTTTACGGAAGGTCACCTGATCACCTTGCATCTTGGTGGGACTGCTTCCCAACCCTCCAGGAGCGCAATCCAAATCCAAATCCTATCCAAGCAAGCCACCAGTTGAGGGATAGCTTCGCTGCCGTTGGCATGTTTTTTTGTTCGTTTGTTTTGGTTCGGCTCATTTTTGGCAGTGGGCTGCAAAAAGCACGGTTGTTTGCTACTAGGCCAAATGTTGTGCATATAGATTTTTGCAAGTTTTAGTCAACCAAGTGATCTTTTGCAATGACGCTATCCATACTAAAACGCTTCACTGTTTGACGTAGAGATTTCTCCACTTCCAGCTTCGGCTTCTGGGACAGCGCCGTGAGCTCAGGATGTCTCGTGGGCTGTCTCGCAAGCCGTGCCCTGTGTATCCCTGCGTGGTTGCATTTTGTTGGGACGTGAGCGCATGGGCTGTCCAGTTTGGGGGCCGGATCATAGCGTGACGAGCCAAGCGGAAAGAGATCAGTCGGCACGTGGCGGCTTCTTTGTGAATTTAAGGCGGGTCCGGTGCAGCAGAGCGTGGGAATCCACGATTTGCAAGCTCGCCCTCCGCGCGCATAGCGAGTTCTCGCAATGGCTTGTGACAAAGGCGACTTGCAGGTTTTTGGTGGGCTTTGTGATCTCCCCCGGTTACGGTAGGGGTTTCAAACAAAGGGCAGCGGCCGTGTGTGTGGGAGTTGGTCGAGTCAGATACCCCAAGGCTTGAATCAGGTACCTGGGTCAGCTACCTCGGATCAGGTACCGTGTTTCGGTGGAATCGAGACCTGGCTGGCAGTCGTTTCACGAAAGGAAAGGCTCGGTGGTTTCAGGAGATGCCGGGTTGTTCCAGGAAAGCCCGGGTGGTTTCAGGAAAGGCTGTGTGTTGCATGAAAGACTGGGCGGTGTTGCAGGAAAGGTTTGGTGGTGTCAGGAAAGTCTGGGGTGGTTCCAGGAAAGGCTACGTGGGGAAGGCTGTGTGGTTGCAGGAAAGGCTGGGCGGTTTCAGGAAAGCTTGGATGGTTTTCGGCTGGGTGCTGGTTTCAGGAAAGACTGAGCGGCTTCAGGAAAGACACGAAAAGTGTGTGTGGTCGGGTCAGGTCCTGGGAGGGTTTAGTCAGATGCCTGGGTCGGCTACCACGGGTCAGGTACCTAGTGTTGGTGGCACCTTGACCTGGCTGGCAGTCGTTTCACGAAAGTATGTATGGTTTCAGGAAAGGCTGGGTGGTTTCAGGAGGTGCCGGGTTGTTTCAGGAAAGCCTGGGAGGTTTCAGGAAAGGCTATGTGTTTCATGAAAGACTGGGTGGTGGTTTCAGGAAAGGTGTGGTGGTCTCAGGAAAGTCTGGGGTGGCTCCAGGAAAGGCTGCGTGGTTTCCGGGAAGGCTGTGTAGTTGCAGGAAAGACTGGGTGCTGGTTTCAGGGGAGGCTGTGCGATTTCAGGAACGGCTGGGTGGATTCAAGGAAAGGCCGGGTGGTTTCAGGAGGTGCCATGTGGTTTCAGGAAAGACCGTGTGGTTTCCGGCGAGGCTGTGTGGTTTCACGAAAGAGGATGGTTTAGGGTTGCTTTAGGTGGGGTTTAGGGTTTGTTTAGGGCTCCCTCAGGGTTGATTTAGGTGTGGTTTTAGGTTTGGTTTAGGGTTTGGTTTAGATCAGGTGTAGGGCAAGTTTAGGGTTGGTTTAGGATTGGTTTAGAGGTTGGTTTAGGGTCGGTTTAGGGTTGGTTTAGGGTTGGTTTAGGGTTGGTTTAGGGTTGTTTTAGGGTTGGTTTAGGGTTGGTTTAGGGTCGGTTTAGGGTTGGTTTAGGGTTGGTTTAGGGTTTTAGGGTCGGTTTAGGGTCGGTTTAGGGTTGGTTTAGGGTTGGTTTAGGGTTGGTTTAGGGTTGGTTTAGGGTTGGTTAGGGTTGGTTTAGGGTGGGTTTAGGGTTTGGTTTGGGGTCGGTTTAGGGTTGGTTTAGAGGTCTGTGGTTGCAGGAAAGGCTGGGGCGGTTCATGAAAGAGGGATTGGTGGTTTCAGGAAAGACTGGACGGTTTCAGGAAAGGCTGTGTGGTTTCAGGAGGTGCTGGGTGGTTTCAGAAAAGGCTGAGCGAGGCTGTGTGGTTTCACGGAAGTGTGTGTGAATTTAGGAAAGGAGGTGCCGGGTGGCTTCAGGAAAGACTAGGTGGTTTCAGGAGAGGCTGTGTGGCTTCAGGCTGGGTGGTTGTTTCAAGAAGTGGTTTCAGGAGAGGTTTGTTGGTGTCAGGTAAGTCTGGGGTGTTTCCAGGAAAAGCTGCGTGGTTTCAGGAAAGGCTGCGTGGTTTCAGGAAAGGCTGCGTGGTTTCAGGAGGTGTCGTGTGGTTTCCGGCGAGGCTGTGGGGTTTCACGAAAGTGTGTGTCGCATATGATGTTGGAAGTCTGATGGTTCAGGGTTGATTTAGGTGTGGTTTTAGGTTTGGTTTAGGTTTGGTTTAGGGTTGATTTAGGTGTGGTTTAGGGTTGGTTTAGATCAGGTTTAGGGCCAGTTTAGGGTTGGTTAGGATTGGTTTAGAGGTTGTTTTAGGGTTGGTTTAGGGTTGGTTTAGGGTTGGTTTAGGGTTGGTTTAGGGTCGGTTTAGGGTCCGTTTAGGGTGGTTTTAGGGTGGTTTTAGCGTTGTGTGAGGGTTGGTTTGGGTTGGTTTAGGATTGGTTTAGGGTCGGTTTAGGGTCGGCTTAGGGTAGGTTTAGGGTTGGTTTAGGGTTGGTTTAGGGTTGGTTTAGGGTTGGTTTAGGGTCGGTTTAGGGTCGGTTTAGGGTTGGTTTGGGGTTGGTTGGTTTAGGGTTGGTTTAGCGTTGGTTTAGGGTTGGTTTAGCGTTGGTTTAGGGTTGGTTTAGGGTTGGTTTAGGGTTGGTTTAGGGTTGGTTTAGGGTCGGTTTAGGGTTGGTTTAGGGTTTGTTTGGGGTCGGTTTACGGTTGGTTTAGAGGTCTGTGGCTGCAGGAAAGGCTGGGGAGGTTCATGAAAGAGTGATTGGTGGTTTCAGGAAAGACTGGACGGTTTCAGGAAAGGCTGTGTGGTTTCAGAAAGGCTGAGCGAGGCTGTGTGGTTTCACGGAAGTGTGTATGGATTCAGGAAAGGAGGTGCCGGGTGGCTTCAGGAAAGACTAGGTGGTTTCAGGAGAGGCTGTGTGGCTTCAGGCTGGGTGGTTGTTTCAGGAAGTGGTTTCAGGACAGGTTTGGTGGTGTCAGGAAAGTCTGGGGTGGTTCCAGGAAAAGCTGCGTGGTTTCAGGAAAAGCTGCGTGGTTTCAGGAAAGGCTGCGTGGTTTCAGGAGGTGTCGCGTGGTTTCCGGCGAGGCTGTGGGGTTTCACGAAAGTGTGTGTCGCATATGATGTTGGAAGTCTGATGGTTAAGGGTTGATTTAGGTGAGGTTTGGGGTTTGTTTAAGGCTCCCTTAGGGTTGATTTAGGTGTGGTTTTAGGTTTGGTTTAGGTTTGGTTTTAGGATGTTTTAGGTTTGGTTTAGGTTTGGTTTAGGGTTGGTTTAGGGTTTGTTTAGGGTCGGTTTAGGGTTGGTTTAGAGGTCTGTGGTTACAGGAAAGGCTGGGGCGGTTCATGAAAGAGTGATTGGTGGTTTCAGGAAAGACTGGACGGTTTCAGGAAAGGCTGTGTGGTTTCAGGAGGTGCTGGGTGGTTTCAGAAAAGGCTGCGCGAGGCAGTGTGGTTTCAAGGAAGTGTGTATGAATTTAGGAAAGGAGGTGCCGGCTGGTTTCAGGAAAGACTAGGTGGTTTCAGCAGAGGCTGTGTGGCTTCAGGCTGGTGGTTGTTTCAGGAAGTGGTTTCAGGACAGGTTTGGTGGTGTCAGGAAAGTCTGGGGTGGTTCCAGGAAAAGCTGCGTGGTCTCAGGAAAAGCTGCGTGGTTTCAGGAAAGGCTGCGTGGTTTCAGGAGGTGTCGCGTGGTTTCCGGCGAGGCTGTGGGGTTTCACGAAAGTGTGTGTCGCATATGATGTTGGAAGTCTGATGGTTAAGGGTTGCTTTAGGTGTGGTTTTAGGTTTGGTTTACGTTTGGTTTTAGGATGTTTTAGGTTTGGTTTAGGTTGTTTTAGCTGTTGTTGGTTTTGGTTTAGGGTTGGTTTTAGGTTTGGTTTTAGGATGTTTTAGGTTTGGTTTAGGTGGTTTTAGAGGTTGGTTTAGGGTTGGTTTAGGGTTGGTTTAGGGTTGGATTTAGGTTTGGTTTTAGGATGTTTTAGGTTTGGTTTAGGTGGTTTTAGAGATTGGTTTAGGTTTGGTTTAGGGTTGGTTTTAGGTTTGGTTTTAGGATGTTTTAGGTTTGGTTTAGGTGGTTTTAGAGGTTGGTTTAGGGTTGGTTTAGGGTCCGTTTAGGGTGGTTTTAGGGTGGTTTTAGGGTTGGTTTAGGGTTGTTTTAGGGTTGGTTTAGGGTTGGTTTTTAGGGTTGGTTTAGGGTTGGTTTAGGGTCGGTTTAGGGTCGGTTTAAGGTGGTTTTAGGGTTGTTTGAGGGTTGGTTTGGGTTGGTTTTGGTAGGGTTGGTTTAGGGTCGGTTTAGGGTCGGTTTAGGGTCGGTTTAGGGTTGGTTTAGGGTTGGTTTAGGGTTGGTTTAGGGTTGGTTTAGGGTGGGTTTAGTAGGGTTTAGGGTTGGTTTAGGGTTGGTTTTAGGGTTGTTTAGGGTCGGTTTAGG